CCCAGTGAGAACTGGTGTCCATGAAATGGAAAGAAAAGGCCATCTGCTGTAGGACATGGCTCCAGCTTAATGCTTTGAACACAAGAGGGCTTGATCCTCCTTGACATCATCCATTTATGGATTTATGGCTATTAGTATTTCCAGATAACAGCATGGCAAAATTGAAAGACAGTCGAAATAAAGGAGGAAATGGAGGTTTTCCAATACTTATGGTATGTTCAAAATGCACTTGTCAATCTTTTTCCTTTTAATGCTTGTTTGTTTAAAAGAAGGGATCTGTATAATTGAGTCTACCAACATTAGCTACTCTGCTTAATGCTATGTGTTAGTTATATGGAAGCCTGTTTTAGATAATGAAGTTTATAGCACAGAATGTACATGCTTATTTGTGAGGACAATGTGTGCATCTGCTTCAGGAAGATTAAATAGAACTGGCATTTGAAAATATAACACGAGAAATGTTGAACTGGACTTCCGACAGCATAATTCATCTGAAGACCTTAGAGTATAGTAATAGAAGACACAAAACCCACACAGAGCAGTTGATATTATTAAAATGATATAACACTTGGCAGAAGGGAAGGGAAGAGATGCAGGAGCCATGCCAAGGTCGCTGCAAATTGGCAGCATGATCAGGTCCTACAATTCTGGTTTGCGTGTTTCAGCATTTATGCTCTGCTTTCCCATTCAACAAATCGCAACATCAACAGTTAAATGAGAAACAAGCACAACAACAAAAATCATAGCAAAGATTGAGCAGAGAAAGTAGATTCTTAAAATTCCGGGGTGTAAATAAATCAATAAGCATTGGCTTGACATACCAGATTCCTGCTGAGGCAAAAAAACGGAGAGTGGATCTCTGTGACGAGGCAATTGATCCTGATTTTCAGGTCAAGTGAAAACCTGTTTTCTGGTTCTGATGAAGTACTGAATTACGGCTTGACTCAAACTTCGAAAGGAGGATGGAAACTGGGAAATGAGATGGGACTGAGGTAGGGGAGGAGGAGCACGCAACAAGCCCAGGGCTCCTTGATGGTTCTTGTAGGGCAGGAGTAGGGAAAGTTACTCGGTCTGAGGGCCGCATTCTACTGTGAGCAAATTTATGGGATCCACAGGTTGGTGTGGGTGGGGCCAGAGGCAAAAGGAGCAATGCACGTGACTCTTACTTTTGTACATGAGCCTGAATTACAACTGTACAAAATTCAGAGTTACACACACACACACACCCTACATGGATTACCAACAGTTCAAAGACACATTCCAGCCAGGCAAAAGCACTTGACGGAGCTGTATTGAAGGGAGAATCCTGAGGACCTTATAGTGAGGGCTGGCAGACCACTCCTGTCAGAGTGCCAAACCATAGTTTCACGTTTCATCTCAGGATGACTATTGCCTTTTTCTAATTTGGCAGGACAGATTACCACTGGGCCACTGACAAGACGCTGAAGGGCTTGACCCTCTCATCAACCTTCTTCATCCAAAGCCTTGAGAGGTTTTGGGGTGAACAATTTTTAATTTCACATTTCCTTGGCATGCTCAATGACAGGCAGGCAGAAGGAATGAAAGGATGTGGTACTCCAAGGACTGGAGCTGCTGCTATTATTACATCAGATGGCTACAGAAACAATCGCATGTTACTGCTCAAAAACTCACAGGAGAGTTCGTGATGGAAAGCTCTAATGTGCAGCTCTTATGTATGGTGATGCTATCAGAGGTCCATGTTCCCCACTTTACAGCTGACATCCCTCTTCTTTCAAGGGCTGTCAGAGGACAGTCCTGCATCTGAAAGTATGCCCATTCTAAGTCCAATTTAAAGGATCTTAAGAAGGGAGATAATGAGACCTTGAAGTTGCCCGTCAACAGTTAGCTCCTAGATGCCAGACACAGGTCACTTGGACACAACCTTGCCTGCTATGGTGAGAAGTATTCCATTTCTATTTAAAATATAATAATCATTTTTAGCATTTTAAATTATAGTAATTATTGTGTAAATTTGTGTCCTCTTTTCTCTCTCTTGCTGATGTGCAAGTAGCTACCCTAGGATGCCAAAAGTTTATATAATGTTTTAACTGTGTTTACAGATAAAACGCCAAGATGGAGACAAAAAATCCCCCACACATTGCAATTTAATAATTCCTTAATAGGAAGGCTAAAATATCAATTTAAGTTCACATCTCAGTTCACAAACCTAGTGAGAGCTAAGTGTGCCAATTAATTGTTGTTTGCAATTCATAGGCTGTGGCGATCACACAGGGTCCCTGGACGTTTGACGGTCTATTGATCCCTGTACCACCACTGTGCTCGCTTCCCCGCTGCCACCAACCCGTTTCTCTCGGGTACACACGGAGTCCCGACAGTTGTTAAAATTAAACCAAATAAACAAGTTTAATTTATAAGCATTAACAAGTTTATGGTTTCTCAGATAATTTTCTTGTCAGTTTCTTAACCTTAGTTTCTTTACCGGCCTATACCTTCCTAATACCTTCTGACTGATTATCTCAACTGTTTGACTGACTCCTCTTAACAGATTCTCTCACTCTTTCACATCAGACTAGCCCAACCCACAAACTTATCCTCCCTCTCTCTTCTCTAACTCCAGACTGACTTCTTAACAACTCTAACTCTAACTCCTCCCCTTGGGTTCCTATTGGTTAGTCATTTTACATTTAGTTAACCCTTTCCTTATGGACCCAGTATGATGTCACATGCCTAGGAGGGCAAACGCCACACAGGCACATATATGATTTTTGGATCAGAAAATCGAAGGCTGGTTGTTCCAAATATTTATCAGAACGTAGCATGCCCTGAACTGGATCAGATCATGAAGGAAATCAGGCAATACTGCCGGAGGAAATAAGATAATGTATGGCATTTTAAAAAATATATATCCCTGAAACATGTTATAATTAGGGTAATAACTGTCTTCCGAATCCCCAAAATGGAACTGGTGTGATATTTTTCCAACTACAGTGGTGCCTCGCAAGATGAAAAGAATCCGTTCCGCGAGTCTCTTCGTCTTGCGACTTTTTCGTCTTGCGAAGCAAGCCCATTAGCGGTTTAGCGGATTAGCGCTATTAGCGGCTTAGCGAGCTTAGCAGATCAGCTGATTAGCGGCTTAGCGGCTTAGCGGATCAGCTGATAAGCTGATAAGCGGCTTAGTGGCTTAACGGATCAGCTGATAAGCGGCTTAGCGATCAGCTGTTAAGCGGCTTAGCAGCTTAGCGGATCAGCTGATAAGCGGCTTAGTGGCTTGGGAAAAAGCGGGGGGAAAGGAAAAAAACCCCGCAGGAACTCGCAAGACATTTTCGTCTTGCGAAGCAAGCCCATAGGAAATTCGTTTTGCGAAGCACCTCCAAAACGGAAAACCCTTTCGTCTAGCGGGTTTTCCGTCTTGCGAGGCATTCGTCTTGCGGGCCACCACTGTACAAGCCTAACTGAACCACAACTAAAAGCAGATGCTACTGAATGGTGATGAAATCAAACTGCTGGCCATTAATTTATGTATTCTACTTTGTTAACATGCGAATACAGATTGAGTGGATGAGACCAGTAGTGGCTCCAACAGTCGAGAAGAAGTTTCTGCATGTGCTGCAGAGGAAAAATAGGGGCAGTTGGAGCTCATCAACCTGGGAAGGTAGCCCATCTGTAGGAGAAGGAAATATCTGCTCCTAAACCTCTGTTGCCTTGTGGCTATACTCATCTGTGAGATAGGCTTCAAGAGTAAACCTTGAGGAAAAATCCATACCCAGTGCCTGGTGGAACATCTTTGGGAGAAGAAAAGCCTAAGGAGTAAGTCCTACACAAATCCCTAAGATGGTTGGATGGCGCCTTGTACACCTCCTTCTGGCAACTCCAGCAGCCAAGCTGGTGCCAAATGTATTGTTCTGCTTCCTTTTGGACCACATCAGCAAGAGCAATGCCATATGAGCAGCCCAGGACTTCCATTCACTTTGGTGCTGCTAAAGCAGCAAAAACAATGCAGAAGGCAGCAGTTACGAGTTACTGGTCTCTGCAGCCACAGCAGGCGCTGTGATTCTCAAGCGGTTTGACTTTGTCCCCGGAGGTGCCCTCCATTGTCTTTCAAGACAGACGGGTGCCAACAACCAACAGGAGATAATGCCATATTATTTTAGTAAGCTAAAGTAAAATGCGAAGCTTCTACAACAGCTCCAAATGCTGTGGCTAACATGAACCACAGGAGGAACTAAAATAGGTCTACATACGGAAGACAGAATCAACCTACAAACGTTGTAACTTGGGAGATTAGAAGTTTTCACTAAATCTAAGGAAAGCTTACATTTTTATCACTTGGCAATGCAAAGAGCCTATTACTTTAGAAATTGTGACGATAATCCAGTCCCAAGGGCCTAGTATGACTCCCAACTCATTAACAGAAGTGATAAAAAAAATAAATCTTGTTTGCTGAGTCCCCACAATTTCTTCCGAAAAAGCTTGGTCAGGCAGAAAGAACAGAAAGAAAATTCATGATTGCTCAGCAGCTCACCTGAAGCACAGGTGCTGTGTCCGGCTCCTCCCTTTCTGCCATTACAGTAGTTGGAAGGTCTGTTGCCCTGGGTGGAAAGGAGCCAAGAAGGCACAAACCACCCTATTGCCAACACTCAACACTGTGATGGGGTTGAAGTTAAAGAAACAGCGCAAAAATCTAATGAGAACTAGGTTTTGTGAACAGGTGGGGGAAGAGAGGGAAAATGTGCCAGCCCAGAGCAATGCCAACTGTTGGAGGGATCAAAAGCAGCCCAAACATCATTGTATATTACTTTTTTTTTTTTAGTTTAAATCACATTAGGGATCCTTTGTAATTGAAATACGGGGTCAAATTCAAACAATTTTTTGTTTGTGCGCAAGCCTCAATGGAAACAAATGGAAGATAATGCCACCAATGGCTATTAGCTAGAATGGCTATGCTCTACCTCCGCTGCCTGGGAATGACAGTCACTGGGAATCACAGGCTTCCCATGGGCATCCCATCAAACACCTCAGGTGGTGCAAGGGGTCAGTGTGTCTGGCTGTTAACCAGAAGACCGGTGGTGTGAACCCACCCAGTGTCAAGGGGCTGTCAGTGATCCAGGTCATCCACAGGGCAGGCACACACATGGAAGGCACAGAATGCAATTAGCTTTCCATTAGTGGAAAAACAACAAGACAGCAACGTTTCTGGTAAGTCTTAACTCAATGAAGGCGTTGCTGAAACTAAGCTCTAGGCATGCTCTTCCCCTCTAGCCCCTCACTCTGGATCCCTCCTAAGCAGTCAAAGGCTGTGTTGAGGGGGTGGGCTCCTTCTCTGGGCCTGTCAGGACCCCCCTCGAGCAGGGAGTCAGAGGGGGAGGAGAGTCAGCAGGACTGGGACTGTCTGCGCGCATGACTCTCAGCTTCTGATCCTGTCCTGGAAGGCCCTCCATCTCCTGACACACACACACGATCATCCCCAAGACCCCTTCCAACTCTTAGCTTCTAAGATATGTTTGGCCATGCTGGACCAATAGGTTGCTGGACTGGACAGACTATGGCCTGCCCCAGCAAGGCTTTTTCTGATGCTCTTGTGTTCTTAAATGGAATGTATGCAAAATGTGTTTGTGTGGACTGTGCACCACTTAAGAGAACAGCTGCATGTGGATTTTAGGAAGGGAGAATCAAACAGTACCCACGTTATTACATCCCTGCAAGCCGCATTTTCTCAGGACCTTAGCTCATGCTGCCTTTCTGTTTGTCCACACACAGGCAGGCTATGGCCAATAAATTACAGCATGCTGAAGGGTTTTTATTTAATTACTTCTTGTTGCTACCATCCTGCTATTTTCTTCTTCGGCAACACTTCAGCTGCCATATCTATAGCCGATAACTGCAGTGTATATAAAATGAATCATTGTACAAGGTTATCACCTGATACCTTACTATTTCTTCCAGTTTAGTATATGAGCATCCAACTGTGAGCACAGAACACACCTAGCGGAAACACTCCAAATGGAAAAGAGGTACAAAAATGGAGGCATGGGAAAAGAAAAGGCATCTTAAGGAATCAGTCCGGATTTTTTTTTTTAGCGTCTATAAAAGTTAACTATGCATTTCCTTTTAGAATTCGTTATTACAGGTATTTTGATGGCTGCTGACATAAGGTGCTTTGAAATGGATTAGATAGATTCATGGAGAACAGCCTATTAGCAGCTTTTAGCTGTAATAGCTCCAAATGAAAATTCCATGTTAAGAGCAGTGCACCTCCAATTATCTGATGCGGAGAACAAACATCAGAGAAAAGCTGTTATACATCTCTGCTTGCAAGGTTTGTAGGGTCATCCGGCTGACCCCTGTTGGAGACCGAATGCTGGACTGGATGGAGCTTGGGTTTCAACTGGCATGGCAATTATCAGGTGCTCATGTCGACAGCAAACTTTATAATAGCTGTGCATTGCTACCCTTGCACTTGAGGTCTATTCCAACCCACCCTAACAGAGCCAAATGTTTTCTTTATCTTTTATTTTTGTTAAGCATACAAAGCAGAGGGAGAAAGTGTGGGGGGGTGAGGCTAAAGAAACCAGGCCTGTGACAGAATTGCCATATTTTGCAACCTCTTCAAAAATGGTATCTGGTGTATCTGATATTCTCCTAACGCAGCATATATCAGCAGAGCTCCTTGAACAGCAGATGTTTTTAGCAATTAAGGCTCATTTGGATTTATCCAATATACAGAGGTAGGCACATTTTGGACACTGACACCTTTGCATTTAAAATGAGTGGGGTGGGGGTGGGGATATGTGGCAGCTTAAAAAGAGGAAGCAATAGAGATAGGTGACTTTTGATTTTGGTACTTTGGTGCAGGGGGAAGAATATTTAGCGCAAGAGGCAAGCAAGCAAGGAAGTTTAACTACCAAACCCACTATGCAATAGCTTTCTCTGTGAGTGCTTTATTAATTTGTACTTTGGAAGTGTGTCAATTTTCCACCAAAGTCTGCAAGATATTTAGAGGGTATTCTGAGCTATTTTTAAAAAAAGAAGATGTGGGTATTTCATGATCCAATAGCCTGGCTTCTTATTTTAAGACTTATTTTATGGACACCTTTTCAGTTTTTGTAGTGCTAGTACAGATAATGTTTAATGCATTCCTCCTATCCCATTTCCCCAGTCAACATCATTTCCCAGAGCTGCTATTGACACAACCTGGTGCTAAATTAAAAAACAAGTAACTGAAGTTTGTTATCTGTTTGGGCGACAAACAGATATGTTCTACTTTTCATAGTACAGTCCTACTTGAAATGTATGGAAATCTATGGTTGAGAGACTACAGTTGTACCATAATACCAGGCATGCCCTCTCTACCCATAACCCCTAATACAATCCTAACCTTATATGGAAAACACTGATTGAAGCTAAGTGTTCAAAGCGAGTTGAGGAGTGTACCCAAATTGACTAGAGGTGGCTATGATGACCTGCAATGGGGGGTTTCGCAGGACAGACCCTGTGGTTTGCAACGGACGCTTATCACTTGGTTGTTTGTGCGTTTGCATTAAAATACCTATCAATAAATAAATTGTGAGATTGCATTGCGCATTACAATAAAAAAGAGAAGAAGCTCAGATGATGATGAATTAAATTTGTATACCACCTTATACCCGCAGGCCTCAGGGCAGTTTACAAGATAAAATAGCAATATAAAAACACAAAATACATAATAAAAACAACAACAACAACCCAATAATCCCTCTCCCTAACACATTTAAAAGGGCATTGGATCAGGTCTGGTTAAAGAGGAACGTTTTTGCCTGGACTTAAAGGTATATAATGAAGGTGTCAGCCGAACCTCCCTGGGTATACATACCTCCACTTTTTTTTTGCACAGACATCAGCAATTGTATCTTGGCTCTATGATCATCTGAGCTGGCCCACTCATGGCTTTTGCTTTTCTAAACTGCCAGGTGGTTCTTAATTTAAGGCAATGCCTCTCCCTCTAGCATTGCACAGCTCTGAAACAAAAGCAAATAAATAAATCCCCAAAGGAGATCTCTGCTTCTGTACTCTTCTTGTTCCCAACACCCAGCCTCTCAGCAATGGGACGTCAGGCAAGAATTCCTGGCTAATCCAAACAACACAACCGCCACCAGACCCACAGAATTGAAAAACAAAGTACTTGAGAAGCTTGTCATAATCCGTCCCTTTCCCGCATCAACTTCTGCAAGCCTGCAATTAAAAAGAAATCCTCCGGATAAAACATTGCAGGATTAAAAGAAAATCTGAGCCAAGGGGGAGGTGTGCTGGTGATGGAGAACCAGCCAGACCAGAAGAATTTTGGATGGTTGGCTAACTTAAATCCAATTGGAGACTGTGACGAATACTTGCTGAGAAGAGTTGAAGGTGAGGGGGAGTTAAAACAACGACTCTTTGAAAGGAATTTAGCAGGAGGGCCAGATGACATTTCCCTTTAGCGGTGTACATGTAAATTAAATATTGTGCTGGTAATGACTTTTCTGATTCAATGCACTCTGCTTAAACGTGATTATGGCTTCTTCTCCGATGCTCATTCTTCATTTCAGATTACTTTTGGGTTGGTTTTTTTAAGGCCAGTACATTGACCTGTGCTATCGGGAACGGGAAGGCTCATTCAGAAAAAGTGCTGCTTCAGTCTCTTTCTCCAAGGGCACGGGCAAATTGATCATGAACGACAACGTTCAAGCAAAGCATTTACAGCCATCAGCCCTGCCTGTCCGTCACATTCACAGCCAAAGAACTGCCACCCCTCAGCATGGATAATACATAACAGATAGTATAGGCAAGGTGGAACAAAACGTCAGCGGTGCAGGTGTGAGCAACGGCTTCTCTTTGAACAGGAACTGGCTCTTATAATTGCATTTCTTTCACTCCGCAGTCACTGGCAAAGGACTAGAAATGAACAGAACCCAATATAGGTTGCTTTGTGTGTCTCTTCCTACAGACCACAAAACTTTTACCTTTTTTACAGTAATTAAATCACTAACCAAAATGCAAATGCATGGGATTCCCATTAGCAAACCCTCAAAAGAGAGTAACCAAGCTGGTGAAATCTATACACGGGGAAAGGAAGAGGGGAATTGCCCCAGCAATCTGATTATATTTGTGACCGACTGTATCTTGTCTGTTTGTTTTACTGCAAATGCAACAGGGCAACAGAAACTTCAGAAGAACATTCCCAAAACTTTAATACTAATGAAAATCTTACTGGGGTTTTGAATGCTTTTCCGCAGCAACAACATTCAGGCATTCATCTTAGGGATAAAATCAGTATGCCGATCCTATCACCCTTCAAGGCCTCATGCCACAACAGCAACAATTAGTTTTATCTCTCATATATATATATATGTGTGTGTGTGTGCGCGCGCGCATGCGCGTGCGTGTGTCATAATCTGTTAATAATGTCCAGTACAATTTTTAGCACATGGGAGGAGGATATAGTTCTATGGCCTTGAGTGATGCTTCCACTGAATGGGTGTTCCAAGGGCATTCGAAGAGCCCTGCTGGATCTCGCCAATCTGTGGCCAACCAGGTGTTTATGGGGAAACCTGAAAGTAGGACATATGTGCTCTCCCCACCTGTAATGATAGAGGGAATTGCATGCCCCTGCCTCCACTTTTAGTGGGCTTCCAGTTAGTTTACAGACACAATTCAAAAGGGTTGGTGCTGGCACCTGTATATGGCTTGGGACCAGAATACCTTAAAATGGCTGCCTTCTCCCCCCACGCCTTTGGCCCACCTTAAAATGTGCCTACAGAAGGCTACCAGCACTTGGAGAGGTAAGAACCCTTTTTAATTTTTATCTCTTTCTGTGGTTCTTCATTCTTATTCACTTGACTACTTTCCTTTTTGGGGACTTGGCACACACACCCTTTGCCATTCCTATTCTCTGCCAACTCCTTTCCTCTTGAAACACTATTGAAAGCTCAATTGCCACCTACAATTTTACCTCTATATTCCCCCACTGGCAAGGAAACAGCAATGTAAAACCTGGACTACACGAAGACTATTCATTTTAACCCAGATTATTCAGTTTATGGAAGGGAGATTGAACCCCATGGAGGTGTACATG